ATTAAGCATTTCCATTACTGTACCTGTATAGATATGAAAATGTTATCTATAGTATTGTGGGAATTACAGGCATTTGCAAAATAACATGTGGCTTGATTATCTGGATCCAACCCTGTGACAGTAGCTGAAAACCACAATCCAACCACCTCCAGGATTCACTGTTTAAAATAATTGTTGTTGTTGTTTAGTCGTGTCCAATGTAGCCTAAAAATAGTTTTTGTTTCATTACTTTAACGCAATTTGTGATTCTAGTTTTCAGTTTCATCCTGAATGCAATCTAGGTTTGTGTCTGTATTTTGTTAAAAATCAGTAAAACCTCTACATTATTTTTACTGCTATACAAACACAAAACATGCAAAATAATTATATTCTGAAAAAGAAAAGAAAAAAAAATCATACTGTAATAATATAGAGGCCATACCATTTTTAATGGTCTCTTGATCATACAGAATCATATGGACATAGGTAAAAACCAGTGAAAAGGCAAGTCAGCACACTTCTTCAGGATTTAAATCCAAAATAGCAGTTTCTTTCTAAAGAACAACCTTTAGCAGCATGGGAGGTGGGGGGGGGGGAGATTAAAAAAATCAAAATGGCGATTATGTCAGTAGCATGAAAACCCTGTTCCTTTGGTGGGTGTTGACATTGCACACGTGTACAAAGGGCAGGGCTTCAATTGCTCTGTTACAACTGCAACCTAGTCTCTTCTTAGCCCCCAATGGATGCTGATTATGCTTGATGAATCCAAAGTCCTTCATAAACTGATAAATTCCAAGTTTTTAGTATTTCATTCAATATTACGTTAACATATTTAAACCTTATTTCTCATCTCAAATTGTATTAATACTAATGCAAACACTAACCAACACTAAAATACAGAACAAGCCCAAATCATGTACTGTATGCCAGGCATCCCCTCCATTACATTTCCATCATAAATAAGTTAATACTGCATTCCTTAATACAACTGGCTTTCTACTCAAAGTTTAAGTCCAAGTTTATTAGCAGAATAAATAGGAAAATACTCAGTTGTTTATGTACAAGTAAAAGAACAAAAGGAGGCTTCAACACAACCAGGAATCCCATAGATGGAAAAAACAAAATATATGTGATTTTTGATTCCAGTCACTCTTTTGTTACCTTTCCATGTTTTAGCCTTTCCAGTTTTTTGCACATGTGAATGTTCAGCACTTACCAACAAGGCATAGAATAGCACCTGAAACATTTATAATCATTAGGGCATCAAAACATCTAGCACAGCCCAGAACATCACAAGTATCTCTGCTATGGAAATTATGTTTGCAAATTTGGCCAGTGAATCAAGAGAATCTATGAGAAAAAAAGCATTACTATACCAAAGACCAGCATGAAGTAGATAATGATGCTGTCTCCAATCAGTGGTTGTATAAGGAATCTCCCCTGCTCAGGGCAAAAATAGGTGAAGATTCTTCAGTAAAGTGTGTTACAGTTACAGCATGTGACTTTTTCTTAAGTTGGATGCACTATTTGCTTTTCACCTTATGCAGTTCCCCAACCTATGGCATATAATGGCTGGTTTTAATATAAATCATGTTACCCATCCATGACCTATTTGGTAACAGCAGGAGGCCAGTGAACCTGCTGTGACACACGTTCTGTTTGAATATGCAGTGCTGCATTCCGCTGAATGACTATGAACCCAGCCACCCTCACACATCTCTGTATGTACCATGAGCACCACCTCATATGCTTATTTTATTTATTAAACATATTGCTGTTGCAATCAAGAGATGCTCAGCGGCTTACATCAAGCATCTATGGCAAAAATAAGCAACTACAAAAATAATTTTTAAAAAATTAAAAAACCACCATAAACTATAAACAAACAAACATGGCAACATTAACATCAGGGGAGAGCTTTCCGAAATTTAGTCTTCAGGAACTTCCAAAAGATTAACAAGAGGAAGTTAGTCTGATCTCTTCATGGAGGCTGTTCCACAATATTGACACTACTAGAGAGATGCATTACTGCTTCACCTCAGTCCTTCAAACATCTCAAAATGCAGGATTCACAGCAGTTTCTCCTTTGTATATCTAACTGGTTGGGCCAATATTGATGGGAGTAGGTAGTCCTGAAGGTACCCAGATAACAACCCATAAAGGACTTTATTGGTCAATACCAGTACCTTAAGTTAAACCTGGAAACTAACTGGCAACCAGTGCAAAATCCGCAGAACTGATTTAATGTGCTCCTAATGAAATTATGTGGGCCACTGCATTTTGAACCAATGGTGGTTTCTAAATACTTAAGGGCAGCACCAAATAGAGTGCATTACAGTAATCCAACTGGGTGGTGATAAGGGTGTTACTGCAACCAGGTCTTCCTGTCCCAGGTAATGTTGCAACTGCCACACCAGCCAAAGCTGGGCACAGGCCCCACTGGCCACAGCTTCCACTTGTTAATTCACATATGCTCGACTTCACTTGGTTCAGTTGCCTCAAGTTGATTATCATTGATGAGAACCCGAGATTGCCTTCATAAAAAAGTAAGACTTAAGTGGACACATAACTCCTTTTTTAGTAGTATATACATCTATGGATGGATGGATTGAAGATGGCATCACAGCCAAAGATGGTACCTTTAATAACAGAGCTAGAAGAGAGCTCTTCATGTAGAAATAACAAAAGTTGCATTGGTTAAAATTGGGCCTCCTATACACATCCTGTTCATGGTGAAGATGGAAATTTTTTCTTTGAACAATATTTAACAGCAATTTGCTTTTTATTTGGTTTTAATATTACTGAGTTATTGGAATAACTCCAACAACTCCAGCATTAACCATGTATGTTTAAAAATCTGAATAGAACTTAAAATGGCATAATCTTTTCTGACCAAATATTTTCTATTAACACTAGGAGGCCCAAAGACTTCCAAAGTGTTATGAACATTTTTTTTTCATTACTCTGTATGCTAGTTCTATCTGTTAAACCCCAAGTCCTACTAGGTTCAGTGGGGTCTACTTGTTATTTAGGACTACAGCTGTGTGCTATGCTTTCACAAACACTAAGTATTTCTTACCTGCTTCAAAATAAAATCATTTTGCTAGCATTGCAATTTATGGATATCGAGTTAGGCCACCCTAATTCACTAATATCGTCTAAGCAAATAGGCTTTTGACTGGTATGACTCAACCATGCTGAATGTACTTAATTTAATGGTCACGTGTTGCCTGTTTAAGTTGTGCCTGTTTTTAAAATGACACTGAAGTCATAGACCACTGAGTGCCACTGTAAGTCATAAAACTCAAGGGAGTTATTTGAACGTCAGTAGTTGTCCTCTTTGTCTTTTAAACAAGATATTCTTGAGAATTTCGGTAACAGCCTGTGATATCTAATCTCAAGACCCCAATAGTAGTGTTTTAATAGAACTAGGAATGTATGTGGAACAACCCCTCACAGAGATCCCCACATAAGAAGGCAGTGGTGAGTTAACCAACAAAGTCCCTTCCTTTATAGCTCATTCGGTTATTGATCTCAGTTACTTGCACTGCACAAAATCCTAGTGAATGTGAAAAATAAACTTGCGATGGAAGTGTGAGCATTTATGAAATCTACATGGACTAGAATTATTTCTATTTTCAGTTCTGAGTTCAGTGTTAATTCAAAACATACTGTGTGATATAAAAATATAGCCATTGTGGTTTGTTTATGGCAATCACTTGTTCAATTAACCAACATTAAACAATAATAGCCTAGTAAAATATGCGAACCAAAGCTAAGCAGGCTGCCTTTCACTAATACTGTAACGGTTTGGGGGCATTTTGCATACTAAGCAATTATGGTGTTACAATCATAGAGTAATTTTGCTAATCATAGAATAACTTTGCCGAGATCTTTTGTTCTTGCTTTTAAAAATAAAAGTCAGATGAGGAAGTAAACAAATCCAGACAAAAGATACATCTTGAATATGAACTTAGTGTAGCCATGTCGGAATATAAACTAAGCAAAGGAAGGTGAACTATACGCCTAGAAGCCTGAATTATAAATCTGCCTTCTTGTGGCCATTACAAAAAACATTACAAACAAGAGAGATCAAGAATTACTTTATTTGTTGAATTTGAATCCCATCTTCCTTCTAGCTAGCTTTCCTAAAATAAGTCCACTTCCACAGAGACAATTTATGAAGACATCATTAATAAAGGTCAAACATGTTAGTATGAGAGAATAACTTATTTCCTCTCTGTCGGAAGTCTGCAAAAGGAAGCCTAATGATGTGTGTGAGAGAGGGAGAGAGAGAGAGAGAGAAACATAAAAAACTCTATAGTAAGAACGTAGTCAACATATGCAGTATAGGGATTACTCACAGAGACACTGTCTAATGAATAAAAAATAGTGCTTAGTTATGTAATATACATATGAACATATATCTAACAGCTGAAACACATACATGTATTCATATGGATTTAAAATTGGAGAATCTAATAATCGGGATTTATTGCAGTGGTGACCAACATGTGAAGGTGGAGGCTACAACTCAGCCTCCTGACTATTCTGAGGGGCACTGCTGTTCTAGCAGCAGAGCAGTCACTGCTCAGGCATGGGGCAATTTTCACAAACACACTCTTTTTAGAATTTTAACAAAGGGAGGGAAGAAGGAAGGCCCTGGAAAGCAAATTGCTCCTGTTTCTACTATAACCCAAAATCATGCTGTCAGAATTTGATGGCAGATAGAGCAAAAGTCAGCTGAGTGACTTTGCAACTGGAGTGTATTTGTGTGTGACAGAGTTTTTACAAGTGAAAGTGGAAACAATTTGCTTCCAACTCTTATTCCCACCATATTTTTTGTAAGGAAACGTGAAACACCACACTAGCAAAAATAGGCCAATTTCAGCAGCATAATCTGTTGGTGCTAGAGAGCTGCGTGCATAACTTAGAAACAGAGTGAAAATCAATGAACTTTTTAAAATTGAAACTTGAAAATCAACTAGATTTATCAACCATAGATGAAATCTGATTTCAGTTTAATTGTTCCTTAGAGTTAACTTGAAAATAAAGAAAATACATCCAGACCCAACTACAGTTACTACTGCAATTTTTAAAAAAGTCTTCTTCCATCTGCCATCTTCCACCAAAGCTTGTATTCGACAAGGATCATCATTCTGTCCATCTTGGAGCTGAAGAAAGTGTATAGAAGAAGGAAAATGTTAAGAGGTCTATACCACAGCATTCCAGAAGCTTAAAATTTAACCTTCTGTATTATAGACAGAGATTTGATTTAAATAGTACAAAAGCAAAGCTGCATTTGTGTGATGGAATGTATCTACCAGGAGAGTGATGTGGGAGATCAAGGCTATCAGGAGGGAGGGGGTGCATTCCAGGAGGGGAAAGGATACAAGAGACAATACAGTCTGCAGGAGGAGCGTGGGAAGCATAAGAGGTTCAGGATAGCCACTCCCTAGAATCTCCCAAGGTATATCCACTAATTGCTGCACTACAGATTTAGTTTGGCAAGATCCTGTCTATAAGGTATAAGAAAATAAAGGAACTTTACTCAACTGGACTCTTTCACCATTGTTCTTGGGCAGGGCCTGACAATTTGTATGTACAAGTTAGGCATGAACTGCAAACCCTAACCGATTTTACTATAAGGTAGTCCTTCTCTTATGTCCATAATTGGGACCAGAATTTCCATCACTAAGCGACGCGGTCATAAAGCGAGATGTCACATGACCGCATCGCTTAGTGACAGCAATTCCAGCACTCTCCATTGTCATTGTTAAGTGAATTCCACTGGTTGTTAGCCAAGGACCCAGCCCAATCCAAGCCATTCTGGGCTTGGTCCCTCCCAGCCCCGAGCCTCAATAAGGTAAGCGACTGCCTTCAACTCCCCCCCCGCCTATCTCCCTCCCCTTTCCTGTGGCCTTCTGGCTGCCCTGCACCCTGCCTTGTGGGGCGGAAAGCAGCCCCAGAACTGCACGGCTTTGGGGCTGCTTGCCACGCCCTGGGAAGTCGCAGCCACCCCAGCCCAGTCCCTGCCGCAGTCACCCTCACCACCCTGAACTCCCAGATCCATGCTGTCCTGCACTTCACTGCCCCAGCTGACCTTTGCTGTCTTGCTCCTGCTGTGGCGTGCCCAAACTGGCCCTTCGTGTCAAGAACCCCATTTGCTCAAAGCTGGCAAAAGCAATCCCCTTTGCAAATGGTTTCTCCAGCAAACACTTCCTACATGTGGCTCCCTGAGATAAGAATGCCAGCCAAAGGGAAAGGTGGGAAGTGATTTTGCCCAATGGGAAAGTGTCAAGGGTTGGCTCAGGGAGCCATGTGTAGGAAGCATTCGCCGGAGAAAGGGGCTTGCTTTTGTCAGCTTGTTTTTGCTGGCTTCACACAAAAGGGCAAGGACGGGCACAACTCGTCAGCAGTGGGAACAAGAAGATGGTGAGTGCAGGGCAGCAGGGGTCTCGGAGCTCAGGGTAGCAAGGGCGACTGCAGCTGGGACTGGATTGGGGCGGTTGTGATTTCCCACAGTATGGCAAGCAGCCCCAGAGCCGCACGGTTCTGGGGCTGCTTACCACCCCGCAAGACAGGGTGCAGGGCAGCCAAAATGGCAGAGATGGGGTGGAGATAGAAGGGTGGAGGGAGGTGAAGCACCCCTGTGGTCATAAGTGCAAGTGGGCACTGCAACGGCCGTAACTTCAAGGACCAATCATAAGCCACTTTTTTCAGTGCCGTCATAATTTTGAATGGTCACTGAATGAATGGTCATAAGTCAAGGACTACCTGTATCTGCTTGCTAGCAATTCTGAATAGGAAAAGACTATTGAGTTTCCAGATTTCAGGGCTGCATCCCTATTATTATTTTTTCTTAAATCTCCCCCGCATTTTGCTTTTTACAGGTAGTCCTTATTTACCAATTTCCTCATTTAGCAACCATTTGCAGTTATGACAGTGATGAAAAAGTAACTTTGTGACCAATCCTTGTATTTATGACCTTCGCAGGTTTGTAAAGGAAAGGAAAGTTGAAGTAAAATCACAAGCACAGTTGCGGTTTCACCTAGTGACTGTTTTGCTTAACGACCAAGTTGCTGGTCCCAGTTGTGGTTGCTAAACGAGGTAATCTATACTCCTATATTTGCAAATTCTAGAATATTAGAATTGACATGGTTGAACTTAGTCTACCAAATCTATTAAGCCATTATACTATCTGAATAACTAGTATTTAAAAATCTGTTGATTTGCTGGTAATTACCATAAATATTCTATACATAAAGGCGTATGTACCTTATTCACGACCTTTTTTAGTTTTACAGCTTCTCCACTTAGATCTTCAGCACTAGAAATTAGGTTTTCACACACTTTAGCAAGACTGTGGGGTGGACTCCATTCAAAAACCAACTAATAAGAAATAAAAAATGCCTTGTTTACAGTTACATTTGAATTGTATTCCAGCAGTATAATTTCACTATTGCAAAGTTTTACTGGTTGTAAAACACATATGCACATACACATTCTGAAGTTTTGGACAAGCCTCTTCCATAAATGCTTCCTTCCATATCCCAGACATGATTATGCTCCATCCTTAATTTCACTGGGTGGGTGTGATTTTGCGCAGATAGGCAAGCAATGGCAAATATCAGGGGCAGCCTCTGGTTTCTGGTGAAAGTATGGTGCAACATGGAAAAGATGTGTTACAGCTTGTAGGAGAGCTGATCATTTTAAGACACATTTAAAGTAATGTGTATCAAGCTGATTTTTAGATGAAATGTTGGTGGCAAATCTATCCACTTGAGAATACAGCCCAGATACAGGATTCACCAGTGTGAAGAATTCTATTACAGTTAGTACATTTTACAGTTTAGGAGGAATTCTGGCCCTGTCAGCCATGTTGTCTGCACAAGTTGTTTTGCAGGCACTGACTTTCTAGTATGGTGTGTATGGTTTTGGTGTGCTGATCTCCCGAGATGTTCAATCTTGTTACTTATACACACAGAAAATCTTCTGGTCTGGTTGCAGTATGCAGCCTGGTACTATTTAAAACCTGACTCTCATCTTGTATACATATTTCACTCACTATTCACTCTGCAGCCTGGGCAATATTTTTATTGCAAGAATTGTTTCATACAATACTGTGTTCAGGCTGAGGTGCTAGCTTCACCTTACCAAAGATGAACCCTACATGGTGCATTCCTTCTGCGGTCAGTGACAATCAGATGTTATTGCTACTATGGCTTTTGTTGAAAAAGGAACAAACCTCTTTATGCTGAGTTGTGATAAGAGAAATAGAGTCATGTTCTCCTCCTCCTCCTCCTCTCCCACTTCTTCTCCTCATCATCATCATCATCATCATCATCATCATCATCATCATGCAAGCAGTATAGCATCCCAATCTCATACATGTGAATATAACATTTAACCAGGGACTTCCCTGGAACTGCCAACCCAAGTAGATCAAACAAGTTATTCATAATGGAGAATGCATCATGTTTGATGATTTGTCATGTCCTGGTACTTGAAAAATAAATTATGTCCATCCTGAGGTCCTGGTCTAGTCCAAGGATACGTTGAATGGACAGTTCAATTATTTTAGATCCTTTGGGCAACTTTAATGTTAATTTTTTAAGATTAATACTTTGATTGCTTTGATTCTCTTGGAACCTCAGGTTGATAATATCTACTATGTTCTTTTAAGTAGACTGATGGCTTCTTCAATAGAAAAAAAATACAGGTAGTCCTTGTTTACTGACCATTCATTCAGTGACCATTTAAAGTTAAAATAGCACTGAAAAAGGAGGCTTACAATCAGACCTTGAAATTCCAGCCATCACAGCAACCCTGCGGTCATGTGATTGTGATCTAGGGAGTTGGCAACTAGTTCGCACTTACGACAGTTGCAGTGTCCTGTGATCACCATTTGTGATCTACCCTGCCAGCTTCCCACAAGAAAAGTTAATGGGGAAGCTGGCAGGGAAAATAAGTTGCTTGTGCCCTTCCCCACCTGGCAGCAGCCACCCCCGCCTCGCCTCACTCACCCCTTATCTGCCTGCCTGCTTGCAAGCCGCCTGGGACTTGCTTAACAACCCACAATCCTCGTTTAATGAGGGCAATGAGAAGTCCCGGTGCTAAGCGATGTGGTCACATAATGTCATACTTGACCACATCACTTAGTAATGGAAATTCTGGTCCCAATTAGCATCCTTAAGCGAGGACTACCTGAACATCATATTGCCTGGTATATGTCCAAACTCAGGATTTTTTTTTTTTTTGAGGGCAATGAACTGTTATCAGAAGGGTGCAATTTCATTATGTATTCAACAATATCTTTTGTGATGTCACTGTCTTGGCACAACATAACTATGACATTCAGATTATGAAAATAATACACTCAGGAAAGTAAACATTGTGAATTCTTAACAAGACATTTTAAAAATCATCATACATTCAACATGTTTGCTTAAAAATACAAAGATAAAACATTAGAGAAGTTTATGTGGATTCTCAAGAAAAAAGATTAATCCTGTCTTAAGAATTTTTTGAAAGGAATAAGCTATTATATAAGCTAATATGGTATTCTAAGAAATAATATTAAATTCATTTTACTCAAGTGAAGAATGGTGTTTTTAAAAACCATGTTTAGATGAATACTGTACCTTATGAGCATCTGTAGGAAACTGACTAACAACACTCTGCACAGCAGTTTTAAGTTGAATGCACTGTCTGTTTAGTTTCACAAGAAAGGAAAGAAATTCATCACCACTGTAACAAGAAAGTTAGACAATTTTATGCTGAAATAGGTAAATGCTTTAAAATTTTAACTTTCATAGCTGCAACCAGGAGAATCAGAGATGCAAACAGAGTATTTACTTTAAGATGAGGAATTACTACCCTCTTTACAATTTTATGGGTACCACTGGGTAGATCCAGAAAATGGTATAATTAGTAGCCTATGAGCAACCAGAATCAAACTTCTTTTACCAACAGTTCATTCTTGAATAGACAAAAAATATTTCATTTCTCTTTGTATATTACAAATTACTACCATCCCATAGTACAATGATGACTATGCAGTCTTGTATGATCAGGATCACACTTTTATTTTCTGCTTATGCATTAAATACTATGGGTTGAGGGCGTTGCTCACTTTAAGGTCATATGAGAATGAAGAACCTCAGTTCTGGCAAATTAATGCTTTAACAGCAGACTTTTAAAAGATTGAGTTGGAAACTCAGAAAGTTTCCAGAGGGGTAGACATTTAGCTTGCTGCAGCAAGGAAAAAAAAGGCAATAAAAATCAATTAATTTATAATGGCACCAAGCTTTTAGTATTTCACAAGAGACCTTTGCAAAATAACAATCTGACTATTAAATATGACTGTTATCTTTATGAGTATTTTTAGTTAAAGAAATGGTTTATCTTTCTTTCAATATCACCATTTTACCTGAATTCCAAATTTGTCACTGCAGGCAGGTCTTCTAACTTTACTTCTTCTATCTGTAGTTCTTTAACAGCATCTAAGATTTTTTGTTGATCTCTAATATTTCTGATGCCAATCTAAATTAAAAATTTAAAAGCATTTATAACTAATGGGATTTAAAATTGTAAAAAGTCAAAGTACTGTGTCAATAAAATCAAAAGCCTTTACATAATAATTAGTTATGAGTTTGAAACTTTAGACTTGACATAATTTTATTTCTATCAAGGCAGTAAGCCTCAAATAAAAAAATATATACATCTGGGCAAACATTACTATTACTTCTACTTTATATTTTGTGCTACTTTAATTTTAAGCAATACAAATTTTAATACTTTTCCACAGTGAGCTCTGAGAAAAATTCAGCAAAAAGAATTGCTATACAAAACAATGAATATTTTTTGATAAAAAATAAATATATTTGTTTTTCAACCAGGACAAGATGCAGAATAATTTGATACATTTATTTTGAATCATATTTGAAAATCACAATTCTTCTGGACAGTAGAAATGGTACTTTTAAAAATTTGCTTTGACAATTTGCTTTCCAAGTTGTGAATAAGGCAAGGTAAATAAAGAATCTGTCAAATTATTTTTACACAAAATACCACTGATGCAACACATTTTATACAGTTTATTTCTGGATATTCTTTGCTTGTTCCTGTGTATGTATGTATGTATATGTGTGTGTGTGTGTGTGTGTGTATGTGTATATATACATACATACATACACACACACACACACACACATACACATACATACAGTGGTACCTCTAGTTACGAACTTAATCCGTTCTGTGACTCTGATCGCAAGTCGAGTTGGTCGCAAATCGAGGTAAATTTTCCCATAAGGTTCAATC